TGAAACAGAATTACTTACACTGCTTGATAAAATTGTAGAGTCATGTGCCCAGTCATACTTCATTTATACTCTGAGAGCAGGGCCCTGGTATCTGCATCTTAAACAAGTTTCATAGGTATCTTTCCCTAAATTCGCTGAACCATCACTGCATAGTTCATTATGTTTGTATGTGTGGATTTGCAACTGGGGGTGCACAGCATATCTTTTCTGCTATTTGATATAAAAGAGATACTACTATTCTGATTGTATAGATGTTAAAATTGGGGTTCAATAAGGTTCAAAAAAACTCAGTTGAGTCCATTCAACTAGTAAGTGATGGAGTCAGGATTTGAGCCCAAATTAGAGCCTGATGTCAAGCAGTAGAGTGGACGGCCTCCTGGGCATTCATAGCTCATGTTCCAAGTTAATTTGGCCTGAACTGTCCATAATATTTTCCCAATTATTTGCTTTGCTTTATCTTTGTGCAGTTTTTTTTTTATAGCCTCACTTAAGTGAGACCTTGTGATTTAGCTAAAAATGAAAACTGGAACTTACTTTGTAAAAGCAGTTGCTGCCCTTTGATTCATAAACTTTGATTCAAGATTCCTGTTTGGGAAAACCAGCAAAGCAATGAATTCTCAAAAAGAAGAATCTTTAGTTCTTTTCAGATGCCTTCTTAACAATCCAGTGATACCAAAAGACTTGGAGTATATTAAAAACACCAACAATTAGTATTTAAAAAACCCTTTCACAAACTACAAGTTTTGCCTTTTAATACAATGCAAAAAATTTTAATGTAAAAATTTAAAATAAAATATTAGCTAGGGTCCAATAGTATATGAAAGGAGGCAATTACCATAATCAAGAAGAGTTTATTCAGTAACCATTAAGGTAACTTATTAATATAGCTCATCATGTTAGTAGGAAAAATTAAAAGGAAAAATATCATTATTTCTATAAAAACAAGAGAGCCTTTCATAAAATAGTCATTCCAATTTTTAATATTAAAAAAACCTGGTAAAATAGGAATAAACGGAAGCTTCCTTAACTTGAATCAAACATTTCTATCAAACCAACAGTTGGCACCATGCTTAAGAGTAAAATACTAGGGTGCCTGCATAGCTCAGTATGTTGAGTGTTTGACCCTTGATTTCAGTTCAGGGCCTGATCTCAGGGTCCTGGGATGGACCCATGGCAGGCTCTGCGCTCAGCAGAGGAGTCTGCTTGAGGATTCTATCCCTCTCTCTCTGTCTATCCACTGCTTGTGGGTGTGCTCTCTGTCTCTTTCAAATAAATAAATCAATTTTTTTAAAGAGTAAAATGCTAAAAATATTCTTATAAAGGCAAAACCACACTAGGCATCATGATAATCAACACTTTTACATATTATGTTCTGGAATTTTTAGTCAAGGTAATTAGACATCAATGCTTCATACCTCTTAAAGAAGAAGGAAGAAATTAATAATTTTGTGTAGTACTATGATTACATTGCTGAAAGCAGAGATTTTTTAACAGAAAAACTATTAGAAATAATTTTGGTAAAGGTCAGTTAAGGTTGCTGGTTTCAAAATAAAGAAAAATAATTTTATGACATAGCAAAAACAATGAATTAAAATATATCAAGGGAGAACTATCCTAATGACCCCAGAAACAAAATTATAAAGCATCTGAGACTTAATAAAAATGTAGGACCTAAATGTAGAAACTTTTTTGAAAACACAAAGGAAAATAATATTCTAACTTATTCTATAATTCAGATGCAAACTCTATCAAAATCTTGATGGTTGACAGGCAAGTGTAGAATGATGACATTTCAAACCAATAGAGAAAAGATGGACTATTATTGATTGTTGATTTTTAAAAAGATTTTATTTATTTATTCATGAGAGACACAGAGAGAGAGGAAGAGACAGGCAGAGGGAAAAGGAGGCTGCTCACAGGGAGTCTGTTGCAGGACTCGATCCCAGAACTCAGGGATCATGCCCTGGGCGGAAGGCAGGCGCTAAACCGCTGAGCCACCCAGGGATCCCTATCGATTGTTAATTAAGTGTTATTTTATTTTATTTTTCAGAGATTTTATTTACTTATTTGACAGAGAGAGGGAGCACAAGCAGGCAGAGTGGCAGGCAGAGACAGGGGGAGAAGCAGACTCCCCACTGAGCAAGGAGCCCGATGGGGGCTCCATCCCAGGACCCTGGAATCATGACCAGATCCAAAGGCAGACACCCACTGAGCCACCCAGGTGCCTTGATTAAATGATATTTTAGAATATTGGCTAGCCATTTAGGAAATATAAAGTTAAATCTCTACATCACACTTTACACCTAAGTAAGTTGGAAGTAGATTAAAATATTTAAATGTGAAAAAGGAAACACCAAAAGCATTGAAGAAAATATGTTGATAATTATTATGTGGTCCAGAGTGGGATTTTAAGTATCTTTTTCTATTTATATTTTCTCCTAGAGTGATATATGTATTAAAAGTGTAAGTGCGCAATTAAAAACAAATGTCTTTTTGCCATGTAGAAGCCTTATGCCAACACGTTATTGGACAAGGGAAGTGGTTCTTTTTTTCTTCAGGTCCAAGCAAAGTCCAGGTGTGGTTTGTTCTGACATATTGGATATTTTGTGTCCTGGTTTAACCTTCAACTCACATAAATTTGTCTATCTTGCGATGGATGAAATAAGCATTTATTTTCCCTTTCCTCATCATGAGGCATGAGGTCTCTCAGAGTGTTCACTGATGACAGCAGCAAGTCAAAAGCTGTAAATATAACCGGAATACTCCCATCCATTATGATGCTGAAAAGGAGTCAGTGAAATAACTTTGTTCTTAAAAGCGGTTGTTTCTTAGTCAAAATTATATGTTAAAATGTGTACATTTCATTTACTTCACAAAAATTCTGGATTTACTTTTTGACTACTGGCTGCTAGTTATTTGCATCATTGTTTGATGAAATATAGAGCACCATTTATTCCTATCTTCCCTTGGAGATTTAACTTTTTATGAAAAGCAAGTCTTTTTTTTTTTTTTTTGTTAAGGACTTTATTTATTTGAGACTAGGAGGGGGCGAAGAAGGAGGAAAGCAGACTCCCCCCTGAACAGGGAGCCCGATGTGGCCTCCATCGCAGGATCCTGAGATCATGACCCCAGCCACCCAGGCTCCCCAGCAAGTCATTCTTTAATGTACTTTACTATAAAGAGTGAACTGTTTTATACATTTTCCCACCTCAAATGATTGCTTTTCTCTCTCTTTTTAAATTTTTTTTTTGGTTTTTGCTTATTCAAAAAAAGGCAAGTTTGCTGCTGCCCAAATCAGAATCATGGTAGAAAAATAACAAAGGAAAACTCCCCAAACCATATAGTAAAAAACCTAGAGGCCAGGCCAGGCGAGTGGTGTGTGTGTGTGTGTGTGTGTGTGTGTGTGTGTGTGTGTGTGTGTGTGTGTGTTGGGGGGGAGGTGTGGAAGTCGTGCTGCGAGCCGGCCCTTTGGGGTCCTCCCCAGCGCACCCGGGCGTGCACCTTGGGCGCGGGAGCTGTCAGGAGCAGCACAGCTCCTGGAGCCCGTGACCACGTAGATACCGACGCGGCTTTCTCTCCCGCGGACACCTGGCGCTTTAGGAGAGTGAGGAACTTGGTCCCGGGAGAGGGGGGGCTGGGCTGGACTCGCGGGGCTTCCCCTGGGCCCCAGGCCTTCCCCCACGCAGGTCTGGAGGGGAGGGGGCGCCCCCGGACAGCTGGGCCCCGCGGGACCGCAGGGCTTGGATGCCGGGGTCGCCAAGCCGCGGATGCACCTGCGCTCGCCCCGTGAGGAACTACCCCAGGTTCCCGGGCACGCGGCCGCAGCACCACGGGGACGGGAGCCCAGCGTGAGTGGGGCCGGGGGCGGGGCTAGGGCTAGGGGGCGGGGCTAAGGCGGGGCTAGGGTATGTGGGGGCGTGGCTCGGACGTCTGGGGCGGGGCTAGGCTCGGGCTGGGCTGGGCTGGGAGCGGGGCTCTGGGGCCGGGGGCGGGGCTCGGGTGAGTGGGGGCGTGGCTAGGACGTCTGGGGCGGGGCTAGGCTCGGGCTGGGCTGGGCTGGGAGCGGGGCTCTGGGGCCGGGGGCGGGGCTCGGGTGAGTGGGGGCGTGGCTAGGACGGCTGGGGGCGGGGCTAGGGGCGGGGCTAGGCTCGGGCTGGGCTGGGAGCGGGGCTCTGGGGCCGGGGCCGGGGCTCTGTCGGCTAGGGGCGGGGCTAGGTGGGCGGGGCGGAGCAGAGGGCGGGGTTCTGGTGGCTGGGGGCGGGGCTCAGTGGGCGAGGGCGGGGCTCGGGGCGGGGGCGGGGCCTCAGCGGGCAGGCGAGGAGCAGTGCGCCTGCGCGCCGTGTGCCGCGCCCCAGCGAGAGCGGCAGGTGAGCTCGTGCCCTCCGCGGGCTCGGACTCACCTGAGGGCGTCGGTGAAGCCCTCTGGTCGCTCCGCGCCTTCTCCGCACGCCGGGAGGGGCTGCACCAAGCCGAGCCCTCTACGTGTCCGAATAATTTAGAACACTTGCTAAAAAAAAAGTGAAAAAAAAAAAAACAAAACAAAGCTAAGCTTTTTCACTAAAAGCTTTTCACTCCGAAGTTTGAATACCCCTCAGGAATCCCACCCCCCACCCCCTCCTTTTTTTGAATGCTTGCATCATTTTGGTATTTTATTGTGCTACTTTTTATCGTTACTTGTTTGATGTGTATGTGAGGGCCCCATAGTTCTGTTCTAGGCCTACATTGCCTGAATATTTTAAAGCTGGGATAAATCCAAAATAAAAAGTTCGACACCTCTGGTATATTCTTGAATTTTAAAAAATACACTAAAAACGAGCTAGTGGTAATTAAGGGTTTAGGCCACATCTGTATCCTATTAAAGAATAATTCCTACATATAACTGGAAATAAAATTGTTATGACAGCCTTGGATGAATGGTAGCGTGAAGCTTCTGATTAAATGGGTAAATATATAAAATTCTTCTAATGGGGCTTTTTCTTTCCCCAGATATTAAACTAACCATGAAGAAAAATATTATCAATACATGGTACTCTTTTGTAAACATTCCCAATGTGATTGTTCCAGATATTGAAAAGGAAATAAGAAGGATGGAAAATGGGGCACGCAGGTAAATCGTTGCATTTTTAATACCACTCGCTGTTCTTAAATTTAGGTTTAATTTCAGTTTCACTTTCAATTTGTGGCCTTGATCTTTGTAATTTATTTAATTTACTCAATTTATTTATACTTTGGAACAGCATAACTTGTCTCACAAATGAGCATAGTTTATTGTGGTCCTTATTTAGAAGCACTTATGCCGAATATTTCCTTAATCATTAGCAAGGCCTTTTCTTATGGGACATTTCAAATCTACAGAGACAGCATTGCCATAGACGAAATGTGAAATAATACAAAGTATGAAATGCTAAATGTTTTTAAAGTGTTTACTCTAGATCATGCTAAGCGAAATAAGTTAGAGAAAGACAATTATATGATTTTACTCATGTGGCATTTAAGAGACAGAACAGATGAACATAGGGGAAGGGAGGGAAAAATAAAATAAGGCAAAATCAGAGTGGGAGGCAAATCCTAAGAGACTATAGGAAACAAACTGAGGGTTCCCAGAGGGGAGGAGGGTGGAGGGATGGAGTAACTGGGTGGTGGGCATTAAGGAGAGTACGTGGTGTAATGAGCATTGGGTATTATATGCAACTGATGAGTTACTAAATTCTACCCCTGAAACTGATAATATACTATATGTTAATTAATTGGTTTTTTAAAATAAATAAAATGGTTACCCTACAAATGAATTGAATGGGTAGAAATGTGGTTGAATTTATTTTTTTGTGGAAAGAAATGTTATTACAGGTTAGTTCATACAAATGTATAATGTGACATAAAGCAAAGATACCATGCTTTCTATCTGATAAATATTAACATTAATCAATGCATCCAATAATAGAAATATGGAGGGCCTAGAAAGTAGTTTCTTATTATACGAATTTTACTGAATAACACATATACCCTAATTCCGTGTATTCTGAAAGTTCTCATTTCACTCTAATTAAAAAAGGCTATATGTTAATTTGAGAGGGAAGGAGAAAAGATGAGGCAATGGTCCTCCTAATGAGAAATGTTATTTTTTCGTAATTATTTAAAACATTGATCTGATTCATCCCTGCCACCTTTTGGACCATAGCTCCTTTTCTGATGATGATGGTGATGACGACAGTGCCTCCATGTTTGAAGAATCAGAGAATGAAACCCCCCATACAAGGGATTCCTGTAGAAATAACTCACAGAGAAGGGATCCATCACAGAGGTGAGCAGTATGAGCTACTCCTCCATAGCTCTTTTTAAACTCTTATTTAGATGAAATATAGGTATTCTACTCCTCTATTTAGTGGGCTTGACAAATGCTTCTGCTACCCCCACTTCAGAGGATCTTAGGAGTCACTTGCTACTCACCTTTTCCTCTCTTGGGCAACTGCCACAGCCTGGTGACTATTCATGTCCATGGGGCCTCAAGTCACAAACACCCTTGCTGGTCATTTTCAGAGGCCTGTCTTTCTTTGTCCCTGAAGAACCTCATGCCCCAGTCCCCTATGACTTCTTTCTGACCCTTCTTTCAGGGTCCTGAAGAAATTGTACGTGGGAGGGGTTGGCTGTGCTCCTCTAAAAAGCTGTGTCCCATTTGACCCTACTTTCAGGGAAGTCGAGCACTAGTGTGAGTAGCTAGAAAAGAAAAGCTACAAGTCCTTCATAGGAAATGAAACACTCATGAAAACTTCATACCCGTGACTCTGAGGGTGTGAGGGGAATATGGTTGTCGATGTGGATCAGGGGCTCCCATCCTATGGAACATATTTACTTTTACTTTGCTTTTGCTCCCTCCCTTTTTCCCCTCTCTTAATCCTTTTCCCACTGACCACCTTCAGTTTTCCCACTGTTTTTATTTATCTTTTCTTCTCTTCCCATCTTCCCTGACAATCTAAGTCTTAGATCTCTTCCTGGCAGTTGCAGCATCCAAGGTGGCTCACTTGAGGCCACGGAGGATGCTAAGCTTGGGTGTTAGCATTGATTAATAGGTATTTACTAATTACTTTGGTTCATAGCACTGATACTCAGCAACTCATGGAGGCTCTATATTTTCAAAAATTGTCTAGGCAGTAGTTAGAACAAAGAGTTTGTTCTTTAAGACTGTTGCTTGCCATGGACATTATGCAGATGGTGACGATTATGATTTCACTGTACATCTTCATTTTTCAGGGAGCAGTACCTGCCTGGTGCCATCGCGCTTTTCAATGTTAACAATAGCAGCAATAAGGAGCAGTAAGTACATTTACAATAGAACCAAAGCTTTGCTTTTAAGGAACATGAAGAAAAAGGTAGGAATATACTCGAATCTGCTATAGAGGAGATCTTTATTAGGAAAACTCTATCTACCATTACCATGGTAGATATTATGGTATCTACTGGTATAGATATGGTATTCTATTATTTTGTCATTTGGTTATTTATATCTGAAAAATGTGACTACCCAGATTGAAAGCAGCCTGTCTGTATGAATGTATGTATGTATGTATGTGTTTGAATACATACAGAAAACCATTGTCTATAGTGTAAACGCAATTGCCTCTCCTTGTGTACAAAAATAAATGAAATATCAGTAATCCCTTCTATTCTAAGCCAATGCGTCTTAGGTCAAATTTCTTAGGAGACAATCTCTGAGTGGGAGGTGTGTGCGCAAAGGTTTATTGGGAGCACTCTTAGGAACGATACCTAGGAGGGAGTTAGGTGAGCAGGACCAGGCAGAGGGAGAAGCTGAACTTCAGGAACAGAGTTGATATGGGGAGCTCTAGAGCAGGGATGGCCCTTCAGAGTCGTGTCATAGTCGGGTAGTGGGACTGGGCCTTTCCCCTCACGCAGTCATTGATCAAGGGCAGTGCCTAGGATGGGGCCATAACTTGGAGCATGGTGGCTTCCTTCAGCCAAAGCCAGCCAAAGGAGAGGGAGACTGTGACCTGTCAGCAACCAATACTCTTGGCAGGTGGGGGGAATGAGTGCCACAGTTCTGTGTGCTATTGCATCCATACCCTATGCTGCTTGTGCTGTTCAGCTCTGCTTTCTTCTTGCAGAAAATTCACCCTATTTGGGAACACCTCCTCTAGTAGTCTTGTTCTTCTTTTCCATGAGGAAGCTTATAAGAGGAAGGTTAATGGGATAAACTGAGGTCCCTGCCAGCTGCAGCTGGTCTCGAGGCTTTAACTGAAATTCCTTATGCTCTCCTTTCCTGCTTTCCTTCCTCCTTTCAAGACTCCTATCACCCCCTGGCCAGCACTTCTGCTGGTCTAGATGACTTTCTTGGTGGAATGAATGATGCAGACCCTTATCCGTGAACGATGTGAGCCCCTGGCCACGTGCCATTCTTGAGTTATAGCTGCTTTATTTGTCCATTTACCACTAAAACTGGGCTGGAGCACACCAAAGACACCAGAGCGGATCACCTGTGTGCCAAATATACCATCCCCCCAACCCATCATATAACAGCAAGACCATCTATGTGTGATGAAAGAAGTCAGTTACTTTTGCCAATATGGTGACTTCCTTTCGTACCTACTGGTTTTTTGACACGAGGGGCCCAAAGTGACTGGGGAGTAGTCACAGCTTAATGTTTAATGGGACACCGTGTTGCCTGTAAGACACATGATCCACCTGGAAACCTGGAAACCTCTAGATCTGCAGAACATAAAGTTGTGAGGATGAGAAGGACATACTCCCTATGTGAGTCACTCCCACTTAAACTCCTTGGTTCTTTGATCCATACCTGGCCATTTCCTTTTCCATACAAAGTGGATGATTGTGCACTACTCGAAGCTGTGCCATTGGGAAGATTAACTTTATCATGATCTTTTAGAGTCACCTTTAAAGTAGGGCCATAGGGTAGACACAACCCATTTTGGCTTGCATCTCGATGTCAGGCTGGCCCATGCCTAGACCATGCACCATCAGCTGCTCCTGTAAGACCCCCACATATGGCCATGGTGGACAATTGAGGGATGGGTGCTGATACAACAGTGGTAGATGACATGGAGGGAAGGTACCGAGCCACCTGCTCGATCCCAAATAAACCATTTCATCATACGATGGCTTGCTGTACAACCTTATAACTTGTTAATTCTGACAGAATCCAGGTCATGGTCAGTAGTCACTCTGTGTCCCATGGTCAGTTCATCCTCTTTCAAGGCCCTATATAGTGGAGAAATGTGATGTTCTCAGGAATATCCAGATGGTCCAAGTCCCTCTAGGCTGTGTTGTGACATTAAGAAGGAGAGAGAACATAGCTCTGGAAAAGACTATAAATGTGTTCTATTTTGCATCTCATAACTATTTCTGATCGTCTTCCCTGATAGTGATAAAAAATATAACACACTCCCCATGACTGACCTGGAGCATTAGGTATATGATGTAGAACTGCATGAATGTATTGCTTTTCACATTTGCCACAGTAGCTGCAATTGGGACTACTCTTTGCTCTCTGCAGTCTACTGTCACCCACAAGTATCCATGGGCTTTGTGTAGGAACCAGACTTTGTATTAAATGGCAATGGGAGGGAACCACCACCACTACATGCAGTAGGTCTGTAAGGACTGCATTTTCTTTTCTGTCCAGGATGCAGTGTTGTTTTCAGCCAGCAGACAGGAGGCAATGTGAGGGCTTCTACTTGGCCCTCTCCATTATGTAGCTCTTACTCTATAAGCCAAGGAACTAGTAGGGCTGAAGCTTCTGCTTCATGACCAAATATATACTTCCTACTTTTACATTGAGGAACTGGAGAAATGGACATAGTGGGGGGCTTTAGGCCCAGTGGAAGATCCGTAAGTCATATATCATGGATTCTGTTATTACTAGGTTACCATATGCTGCTTCCCCCCGCCCAACTTTAATGGGAGGCATGACATTTCAATCCCTGGGCCTCAATATCAGCTTGGGTGTCATGCCAAATAGTTTTTAATGTATCTGGAGACTCCCTTTCCCGCCAGGTGCAGCCACCTAAATAACCCACCAACAGGTTTTCTTTGGGGGAAAGACTGGGGAAATCATTACTGAATACACTTGTGGAGGTCTTGCAGGGTCCTTCGTGAGGGCTTAGCTTCTGCTTCAGTCAGTGGTTTCATTTCTGAGAATTGGCTCAGGTTTAGAAACTATCCATGAGGGTGTGACTTTTTATTGGGTTAACTTGCTCTCAACCTCCTGATCATCCATCCTGATCTGTTTTGATTATGTATATGTTAAACAGTGTCCTGACAAGCCAAAAGGATGTGAATCTACCTGTAGTAGAATATAGTGATCTATTAACCTCTTCCATAGCTCTCATGGGTTAAGTCCTCTGTCTACCCATGCTCACCTTAATGCTAATTATAGTTATTGAACCATCCCTCTTCTGATGAGTAAGCACTGCCACTGACCTCTCATTCCCAGATTCTATTATCCCTATTGCTCTCAGGGAACCCAGTTCTCTACCCAGTTTGGCATCTATCACTATCAGCCCTGGCTGACAGAGGGCCGCATCACTGAGTTTTCTCAGCGATGCTGGTGCCCCTCCTACGAGCACATTCCTTATCATTTTTGTGTCCTTTAAACTGTCTGAGGGACTGTAGTCAGTTGGTGGGCTCTCTTCCTTACTTGGCATGTCCACTATAGCATATTACTTCTCTGAGTCTTTCTGATACCTTTCTCCACTATCCACCATGGCATGTTGTAATTTACTCCACTTAGCATGAGCCATCACCTTTTCTGAGCTTCTGGGAGACATCTGAGCAGTGTGTTAGCACCATTTCCTAGGATCTGTGGTCCGATGTTAAAACCTGTATCACAAGAATGTGCTCTTAGAGCAATCAGTTCTCCCTCATCCAGTTTTATGTTCTGTTCCCCTTTGTACGTGACAACCTTAGGTGCCAAACCCCACTTCCTCGTCCATTCTATTTCCTGTTTCTCCTCAATAGCAGCATTCCACTTCTGCGCGGGTTATTCATGTACAGACTAAATTCATGTGTACGTTCCCACTTGAAAATTTCCTTCCCGTTAACATCCTCACTCTTCTTCTAAAATTCTCCAGCTCTTACCTGTACGTTGAGGCCTAGACCTGTCTCCCCTTAACAGGATCTCTGATGATGCTCCTGGTAGTGAGCTGCCTGTTTGTTCATGTCTGAATAATAAAATTTCCCAAGACATCTGAGCCAACAATGGCAGCCTGTTTTGACCTGAGGTCTGCCTGATTCTAGAATCCATTCTTCAGCTGATAGAAAGAGGCCTGTAATCACATAATCTCCACTCCAGAAGAAATTGCATATAGAAAAGGATGATTTAAAATCCAGTGAATGATTCTAAGAATTAGGATTCTACTGTGTGGAGCTTTTTGACTACTCATAAAAAATTGCTTCATTTGTGATTACCCTCCCTAAAGAAAATTGATGGCATTTTCTTGAAATTCTCAAAGCTCTTACTCAGTAATAAATATAAGTGATATCAAGAAGCTTAAATCTTAAATGGTTTTTTGGGGGATACATGGAGCCTGAAAGTGCACTCTTGGGGGGCTATTGCTTCCTGGATTTTCCTCTTTGAGTTTATGCCTTTATCTACTACCATTGCCTTCAATTTTCCACATGCACTAACCCAGGAATTTTTGTTTATTTGTTTTATCATCTGGGTACAGGTCCATTTTTGTAGAACTCTCCATTAGGAGACCAGATTTTTGGTCTCTGAGCATGGGGGCACGTCCCTGAGTGCAAGGCTCAGAATTCTTGCTCAATAGAGAGGAAAGTAAACAAGAATGGAAGTCAGAATGTAATTTGATCATGTGACTTAAATATTATTTCTTCTTTAGAGAACCAAAAGAAAAAAAGAAAAAGAAAAAAGAAAAGAAGAGGTAAGTTAGACTTTGGCATGAGTGATCCCAGATTTTTTGGCCCAGAATATTTCTGTGCTTTATGGCTAACCACATCTCTCTCTTTTCAGCAAATCAGGAGATAAAAATGAAAATAAAAAGGACTCAGAGAAGAAAAAGAAGAAAGAAAAGGAAAAAGAGAAGAAAAATAAAGAGGAGAAAGGCAAAGATAAGAAAGAAGAGTAAGTGGCACTGAAATTAGGAATGAATTTATAATGGATTTTGGATGCAGGGAGTTTCCTGAAAGCTGTTGAAGTTTTAATTTTTTTTAATATTTTTTTTCTTTATTTATTTATGATAGTCACACACACACACACACACACACACAGAGAGAGAGAGAGAGAGAGAGAGAGAGAGGCAGAGACACAGGCAGAGGGAGGAGCAGGCTCCATGCATCGGGAGCTCGATGTGGGATTCGATCCCGGGTCTCCAGGATCGCGCCCTGGGCCAAAGGCAGGCGCCAAACCGCTGCGCCACCCAGGGATCCCTGTTGAAGTTTTTATAAAGGGAAAAATCCTTAATAATATGGGCTTGGGGCATCTGGCTAGCTCAATCGGTAGACCATGTGACTATTGATCTTGGGGTTGTAAGTTCAAGCCCCATGCTGGGTGTAGAGATTACTTAAAAAGAAAATCTTTAGTTCCCCCACTACCAACAGCACCCCCCCCCAAAGTAGTCTTGATACTAGAAAATTTAAAAAATTTTCCATTTGAGCAAATATTTCCTTCCTTCCTTCCTTCCTTCCTTCCTTCCTTCCTTCCTTCCTTCCTTCCTTCCTTCCCTCTGCTCTCTATTGCCTCTTCATCCTTCATAGATGCTTATGAACAAATACTTTTTATTAGATTGTGTTACATTCTTCTTTCCCTACAGGTGAGAAAGAAGCCACGAGTTCCCTTTCCTGATTGTTTAGTTCCTGTAGTTCCTGATTGTTTTGTTACCTCCTATGGGGAGTGGCAACACTTCATCCTCTCATCACCCATAACCTACCAAAGAGGTCTATGGAATATCCAGAGTTTAGCAGGATCTGTGCCACTATTCCTTCTCAGTGGCTGGATTGATAGAAATGGCTGTAGCACCACAATAAAACAAGGGCTTTTAAAAAGCCTAATGTAAGGTTTAATGTAAGACTAGTAATTTATCTATCCAGTGCTCACTAAGCGATTTCTTATGTCTGGCACACTCATGCCAAGCTAGTCTTCTCCCTGTAGAGTGAGCTTCTCCAGCTTACTTCTGTTTCGTTCATTACAGGTGGGTGATGGACATAACCATATTGGATACGTGAAATAAAAATGTCCTTGTTTCTTGTTAACCTTCTACTTTATTTCTAATTGCTGTTAGGGAGAAGAAAGAGGTCATGGTTATTGATCCTGCAGGAAACATGTACTATAACTGGCTGTTTTGCATCACTTTACCTGTTATGTACAACTGGACTATGGTTATTGCAAGGTATCTATATATTTTTGTGGATCTCGACCTGCTTCTAATTTCTAAGTTACCTGACTTAACAGTGTGGTCCAGGGCTCTTTGGGACATACCTCTTTTCTATACCACAGGCTGTAAAGAGAGGTTGCATTATTCTCCATGTGTTTTCCTAAAATCAGGAGTGGGTGCTTTGGTTCCCAATATACTTAGATGCAGAGTAGAAGGATATTTTTGAACTTTTGATTGCTGAGTCACTTAATTAGAATTTGGGGAGAAACTTTGTTATTTTTTTATTTATTTAGGCCCATAAGAAAAAAAATGTTGTCAAGAGTGGGGGGATAAAAAAAGATCTGGGTTGTTTTAGAACAAGATGTGTTTCCCAAGTGATTTCTCTGGTTCTCTGTCCTTTAGACAGTAAGCATCTCAGCCATCCAGAACCAAGAACATTCCTTGAAGCATTTTGGGTACAAATAGTAAAAAAGAACCTGGTTATCTGTATTTTGACATTAGCTTGAGACCATTTATTCTTATTTGATGTCTTCATGAAGTGAACTAGTGTAATGGAAAGAATGTTGGAATTCAAAAACATGAGAAAACTACATCCAACCACTCAGATTCAGAAAAGCCATGGTTGTTTAAATTGACCCTAAGGACCTGATCAGCCTTAGTGTATTATATCTCTTAACGTGATAAAAATTACGCAGAGAAGACTTTCATTTGCATTTGCCCCTGTTTCATTTTATTTATGCAAGTTTTTCTTTTACAGAGCATGTTTTGATGAACTTCAGTCTGATTACCTAGAATATTGGATCATTTTTGATTACCTATCAGATACAGTCTATCTTCTTGATATGTTTGTACGAACAAGGACAGGTAAATGTGTTCGGCTTTGGATGTTTTGTAATTTGGCGCTTTTACCTCTACAGTATAATTTGAAATTCTGTCATTGAAGTGTTCCTCAAAATAAACTCCTAAAAATCTATTTTAGAGGAAAAAGCTGTTTGAAAGCAAGAGTGCCATATACCTACCCACAAGCTTAGGTCACTACAACTGATTCATTTTACTAGGCAACCTTTGAGTGTGGATTGGTGGCTTTCCCCCATTAACTTGCTCATGGGGTTAGTGCCATTTGAGAGGAATAAAGACAACAGAAAGATTCTGCTAGTTCTGTAGAGAAAGGGTAATTGCTACCTAACAGACATATAGCCAGGAAGAGGCATGGGGTGAAACCAGTATACCCAGCAGAGCTGTACTAGAGATTTTGTAACACGGTACAAATCCTTAATTCAACTTTGTGGTCATGGCGAGGCATTACTGACCAGGGAGCAGGATCTGATGGCTTCCCCTTAAGTATTCTTGACAAGTAGGTATAAACTTATCATTTTTACACTGCTCTCTGTGTGCAAAGGTAACCACCGTACAGAGAGTAGCACTTAAGAATCATTATTTAAAATAGGGACATGCTCCAAATACCAGTGGGCTGGAGCCATGCTCTGCTCACACCTCTGGTAGCCAGTCTAGGAAGGGGAACAGATTCTTTCCATGGTGAAATGTATCAGAATGTTAAAATTTAAAGCCCACTTTGAAAATGCAGGAGAAAGTAGGATCCCAGATATCTAAGGAAGCCTGGGGAACAAGAAGGAGAGAGAAAATGAACCTTCAAAGGACATTTATTCTTCACATTGAAGGGACAAGGAAGGAATACACATAACAGACAATAAGGCTGGTACCCAAGCTTCAGAGGTGGGGCTGGGATTCTGACAATAGACTAGCATGAGGCATTAGGCACAACACTAGGGCATTTAGAAAAATTTCCAAGAACGCTGTTCATAAAAATAATGGCTTTACCTGGGTAGAGATGCTGGATCTACAGAGGTCTGAATATATACAAAGTATATATTCATTGCCTATAATCTCTCACTTTTGCACTTACAATGTTTTGCTTTTTATTTCTTCAAAAGAATATCTTATCTTCTATAACCATATTTTAATCGGTATTCATATCTTATAACGTTGTTAAAAGCATGTTTATTAGAAATGAACTTTTAAAAATTTTAAAATTTATTTTAGAGCGAGAGAGCAAGTGGGGTAAGGAGCAGAGGGAGAGAATCTTCTAGTAGACTCTTCACTGCACCTAGAGCCTGATGTGGGGCTCAACGTAGGGCTTGATCTCATGACCCATGAGATCATGACCTGGGCCGAAACCAAGAGTCGGATGCTTAGCAGAATGAGTCACCCAGGGGCCCCTACTGGAAATGAACTCTTGTTTTGAACTTGATGAAGTTCCTTGAGGGTTATTTTAGAAAAATTCATAATGGCATAAAAACAAAAACATGAATTTTTTTTTTCTATTTTAGGTTACTTAGAACAAGGACTGCTGGTGAGGGAGGAGGCTAAGCTCATAGAGAAATATAAATCAAACTTGCAATTTAAACTTGATTTTCTATCAGTAATACCAACTGATCTGCTGTATTTTAAGCTGGGGTGGAACTATCCAGAAATTAGATTAAACAGACTGTTAAGGATCTCTCGAATGTTTGAGTTCTTCCAGAGAACAGAAACAAGAACAAACTACCCAAATATCTTCAGGATTTCCAACCTTGTTATGTATATCGTCATCATTATCCACTGGAATGCGTGTGTGTACTTCTCTATTTCCAAAGCTATTGGATTTGGAAATGATACGTGGGTGTATCCTGACGTTAACGATCCTGAATTTGGCCGTTTGGCTAGAAAATATGTATACAGCTTGTACTGGTCTACACTGACTTTGACCACAATTGGTGAAACACCACCTCCCGTGAGGGATTCTGAGTATGTCTTTGTGGTGGTTGATTTCCTAATCGGAGTGTTAATTTTTGCTACCATTGTTGGTAACATAGGTTCTATGATTTCCAACATGAATGCTGCCAGGGCAGAATTTCAAGCAAGAATTGATGCAATCAAGCAATATATGCATTTCCGAAATGTAAGCAAAGATATGGAAAAGAGAGTTATCAAATGGTTCGACTATCTGTGGACCAACAAAAAAACAGTTGATGAGAAAGAAGTCCTCAAGTATCTACCTGATAAGCTGAGAGCAGAGATCGCCATCAACGTTCACTTAGACACTTTAAAAAAGGTGCGCATTTTTGCGGACTGTGAAGCTGGGCTGTTGGTGGAATTGGTCTTGAAATTACAACCCCAAGTCTACAGTCCTGGAGATTACATTTGCAAGAAAGGGGATATCGGACGAGAGATGTACATCATCAAGGAAGGCAAACTCGCTGTGGTGGCAGATGATGGAATCACTCAGTTCGTGGTCTTGAGTGATGGCAGCTACTTCGGCGAGATCAGTATCCTTAACATTAAAGGTAGCAAAGCTGGCAATCGAAGAACAGCCAATATTAAAAGTATTGGCTACTCCGATCTGTTCTGTCTCTCAAAAGATGACCTCATGGAAGCTCTAACTGAGTACCCAGATGCCAAAACTATGCTAGAAGAGAAGGGAAAGCAAATCTTGATGAAAGATGGTCTACTGGATATAAATATTGCAAATGCTGGAAGTGATCCTAAAGACCTGGAAGAGAAGGTCACCCGAATGGAGGGATCAGTAGACCTCTTGCAGACAAGGTTTGCTCGGATCCTGGCTGAGTATGAGTCAATGCAGCAGAAACTGAAGCAAAGACTAACCAAAGTTGAGAGATTTCTGAAACCAATTATTGACACAGAATTTTCAGCTCTTGAAGGAACGGGAGATGAAAGTAGGCCCCTGGACTCCACACAGGACTGAGAAGCTGGTCATTAACAAGGACGTGCCTCATGATCCTTTTGGTTTAGGCAACTCTAAATTGGAAGAAGAGGGAGATTCAGCTGGGGGAGTGTTTCCATAAGGAAAATGGGCTTTGGTGCAGGATACAAGGCCCGCGCACCCACTTGGGAGGTACTGTGATTAACAATCATCATCCTTAGGATTTTTCAGAATGGATAATGTGCAAAGATATAGAATGATTAAGTTATCAGTATCTATATTTTCTGATTTTTTTCATATATGCTCCTTTTATGTAATACTCTATAAAAGCGAACAAGTATCCCTCACTTTCAGGCATTTTACATTGTGAAGGAGCAGCTGGGAATTACCATGTATGTCATGTTCAGGATACCATTTTAAAAAGGATTAGAATGCAATAAATTAAAATAAATCCTAAAACTATGGTGAATATTATTTATTTGATAATTTAATAGGGAGTTTAGGATCTTTTAGCACTTCAGGGTCATTTTAAGGATATTAGTCATTGTAGTCTAGGACTTAGGAAGGGTGGTGAAGAGAAACTTCTTATGAGAAAAGTGTGACAAATCAAACTCCACATATCTACACTTCTATAGAAATATGTAACATTAAAAATCATAAAATGTAGGAATCTTTTATAATATATTTTTTCCTTTCAAGATTTTATTTAAATTCAAGTTAGTGGGATGCCTGGATGGCTCAGCAGTTGAGCATCTGCCTTTGGCTCAGGGCATGATCCCGGGGTCCTGGGATCGAGTCCCACATTGGGCTCCCTGCAGGCAGCCTGTTTCTCACTCTGCCTGTGTCTCTGCCCCTCTCTGTGTCTCTCATGAATAAATAAATAAAATATTTTTTTAAAAATAAATTCAAGTGAGTTAACACATAGTATAGCATTAGTTTCTTGGGTAAAATTTAGTGACTCATCAGTTGGATACAACACCCAGTGCTCATTACATCAAGTGCCCTCCTTAATGCCCATCACCATTTACCCCATTCCCTCTCCCATCTCCCCTCCAGCAACCCTCAGTTTATACTTTTATAATAAATTTTTAAAAGTCTCTGATTCTTAAGACCTGACAGCAATAGCTACTATCTTCCTTACCTGACCGGCCAGCAACAAAAAAAGGTATAACAATAATCCCATTGCTGAATGATTAATAAAGGAAATTGTGATGTTAGAAAAGGAGATGTGTAGGTTCTGTGGACCAGCATGGCATCATCAGGCAACTTCTTAGAAATTCAGAATTTCAGGCCCTACCGTGGAGCTACTGGATTAGAAACTGCTTTTTAGCAGGACCCTTGGGTGATTCATACATTAAAGCTTGAGAAGCACCTAACTGGAGAACCAGGAAGGAGTTAATGGGATTTGTTCTAGGAATTTCAGAAAAGGGCTCTGTATGACAAGTGTGTGGTTGTGGAAGACATTGCTAATCCATCATAAACCTACTAGTTAACTCAGATGAGGTAAAAAAAAAAAAAAGTCTTCTTACCAGAGATCACTGGAATTGATATAAAATTTCTCTCTCTGCCTGTAATGATATGACTTAACGTGACATCCTGTTAATTTGACATTTCAGATATTTATATGGACCTTGATCAGTGCACGTCTATGGTATATTCTATTCTATCAATAGAATATTCTTTGAACTGTACATGGTATTTGCAGTCTCATGTTGACATTTTACATTTTATCTCTTCAATATCAGCTGGCAAGTATTTCTTCACTACAGAGGAAGTGACTAGTACTGGGGTGGGTGGGTCGTAATTAATATATAACAATGTTTCTGCCTGAGACAAGTACTCTTTTTCCTATCTTTTGTTTTTGTTTTTGTTTTTACTTTTTATTCCTTCTTCACATGCAGACTATTCTTTGTGCTCTTTGTCGCCTGTTATAAAAACCTCTACAACACTGTAAAGAGGCTTGATATGGTAAGGTAGGAATGGCCCTTGGCTCAGGGCCTCGCTCCCAAGGAGAAGCAGCCCTGGTCACAGCATCCAGGAGGGTGGGTACTTTGAGTCTGATTTCAACTAGAGACATCCCAGGGTTTCGACTTGATGAACTCTGACCCAAAGCTCTGGGAGTCTCTCTGATGCTTATATTGGACAGGTGGCAGATTCTTGATTCAAAGACTTGGGGTCGGGATCCCTGGGTGGCACAGCGGTTTGGCGCCTGCCTTTGGCCCAGGGCGCGATCCTGGAGAACCGGGATCAAATCCCACATCGGGCTCCCGGTGCATGGAGCCTGCTTCTCCCTCTGCCTATGTCTCTGCCTCTCTCTCTCTCTGTGGGACTATCATAAATAAATAAAAATTTAAAAAAAAAAAACCTTCAAAGACTTGGGGTCAGGAAGGCTCAGCCAATTCCTTTTCCGTGACTCCTCCAGGTGGAGGCTCAGACAGGTGGTGGCGAGGTTCCAGTTCAGAGCCCTGGAATGCAATGCTTCTGGCTTCATACCGAAATCATTTTTAAGCAAACAAACAAACAGGAAATAGGTGGCTTTCGAGAGACTCATGGTAAGGATGCTGAGCTGGGTACAAGTGAGTGCCAAAGGCGAATCCCACCTTTTGGTAGTCCAAAAACTACCCAGATTCCAGACTGATTCCAGACTCCAACTGGCTGTCTTAACATATTAAGATTATGACAGGCTTGATATAAGGACAAGGGAGGGCTGGTTACAATCTGAAGGTCGTTAGTAACTGCATCTGCGAGCAGATAAGAGAGTTCTGGAACTCATTGATGGCAGGTCAATGAGGGAGCAGAAACCCAATAAGCTAGTCTTGCCAGTGGATCTGTTTACTCTGCACCCCCCCCCCACCTATAATGTAATTTTCTCATAGGAATAGATCGCTTCAAGACTTTGCATGCATCTTTTAAAAACCCCAACTTTTCCAACTTGAAATATGATGCGATTCAACTTCTTACCATCAGGTGGCAATGTTGATCTATAATTACAACCTTCAAAGCTTAAAATTCTCTTCACAGAAAATATAGGTAGTAAAATCAGAGCTCTTCGGCAATAATGGGCATCCCCCGCCCAACATGAAGATTTCCAGAAGATTTTAGCATAGCGCACTATATGCCAGCCTAAAATTAAAACATGATCAAATAAAATTTCATGCAAATTTAATGGATGAAGCAAGATAAATGGAAGCATTTTAGTACTTCTTAATTTCAGAAAGTTCAACAAAGCGATAACAACAATTAAATTACAAGAAGCTTTTCATCGCTCTGTAAGATATGTATTCGAGGTAAGCAAAAGAAAAAAAGGGAGGAACCAGCATTTATTTTGAAATTCAGGTTATATTTTTATTTAAAATAAAAGTCCATTGCTTTAAAAAGTGTGGAAACCACTGATCTGTTTTAACAGTGTTGGAAGTATGCCTGGCTAAGACACTGTCAATTTAGGTAATATTCTTCCTATGACTAGAGAAATGGTATTTTTGGGTATCTTTACTGTTAAGAATGCAAAATACCAAACATCAGGCTTTTCAACCCCAAAGAAAAGCTTGCTGTTCGTGAGTTTATTTCTAGGTGAAGGGAGAAACTGGGAAATGCATGGGAAGGAAATTGGAAGATGTAGAAAATGCAAAACGACTCCAGAAATCATCTAATTCACCCCTTCTCATTTCACAAATACAGAAAAGATGATTAGGAAGCACTGAAATTGGTGAGGATATAGAGTATTGAGAATTTGGAATAACAGGGGGCATCTTGACCGTATGTTGGAGAGCCATATGCTAATATCCGCTAGAGCCAAGGTGGGGCTGATCTAAAACCCAGCAATTTCATTCCTTGGTATTGTCACTACAGAAACTTGGCCGCACATACAACAGGAGCAATGTTGAAGAATGTTTATAATAGAAAAAAATTGGAAACAGCTTAAGTGTTCATCAAGAGGAGGCTAGTTACATAAATTGGAATAAATTCCTATAATGGAATTATATAAAACGTTTGGATGGTAACAGAGACCATTAGGGTTTAGTTTGTGCCAGGCACTGTACAAAGATGCAGTTATTCTTTGTGAAAACTTATAGCTTCCACTATGTTTTTGGTTTAAAAGATGAGGAGGAAAGGCCGGCACAAAGGGTTAAAGTAATTTGCCCACCACTCACGGGAAAGACGTGGAACAACTGCTCCCTGAACCCCGACAACAAGGCTTCAGGGTGCCTGCCCTTAACCCCTGCCTTCATGCTGACTTTTGCATGTCCACGTAATATCTTCTGTAGAAAGTTTACAAACGCACAGCACAAGACTGAGCAGCATTTGTGGATCTGCACCTCTGGTGTAACAGTTTGATTAACAGGCTGGAGAATGCCTGTTATGAGCAGGAATCAAAACAGGGCTTACACTTGGGGGGCTGGAGAGAACAGGGTGGGAGGGAGAGTGAGACTTCTGAGGACTTCCACAGTCTATGATATCTCAAATTTTCAAAAACCATTTGAAGGAAATAAATCCAAATGTTAAGACCTGACACACCTGCATGCAAATACATGCATTCTCTCTATAATTTTGGTAGATCTGAACTGCTTTGAATGAAGGAGAAAAGAGGAGTAGAGGAGGTAAGTAAATTCACACAGCTAGTTCAGGACAAGGCCTGGACTTTGACCCTTGGTCCAGTGTTTACTTCGCTTAAAAGGCTGTACTCGATTGCTTTCTACACAGACTGAGTTGAGTGCTTTACGGGCTCTACTTGGTGATAACATGTCTGTTCTCTGTATGTTTTCACTTTAAACTAGTCAGACTGCATATTGAGTACATTCGAGACAATACTTGCTAGAATTACACTACGGGTCTGGCTCTTGGTTTCCTGATGAGTTAGAGGTGAAAGAATGCATTTTTCACCAATGCATTCCTTTGGGGTTCCAAAAATAGCAATTTACCACAAAATCACTCACTATCCTGACAATGTTGGCCCCTTAAAAGAGTTGATACTGCGTTTCTTGTCAGATCGCCAATGTCTCCTCTTTTTTAGTTGGGTTCATTTTTGTTCTATCTGGGTTGCGCGTTAGCCAGTTGGACTTGGTCCAAGAAGCTACTTGAGTTTGTTCTTCAGAGATCAGTGAGCCTGTTTCCTGAGTTTGTCACAAAGATTCATGGTGCCCAGGAGCACAGTATTGTGGTGGCACCAAAATCCATGGAGTTCTGTGGTATTCTTCAGTGGCCTCCTTGCTTATTCTCGGAAGAGTGACCAATGAGACAACCAGGGCACAA